GGTATCATGTTTAATTTTTAAAGTACCTAAAATTATTTATTGGCTAAAACTTACTCGAAACAACTTCTTTGAAATGATGATTTAAGTTTCGATACTAGAGAAATGTAGCACAGAATTATATGAAGTGGTACTTAGATCTTCACATTTACAGAGTTCTTTGCCAAAAATCCTTTTAAAAAAATGTCTTCGAGCAGCCGTACGGCATTAATGAGTATAATATCAAAAGGAGCTCATGTTAATACAGTGTCTGATCCATCGTTCTTTTTAACGGCAGTTCTTTTAACTAAAACTTCAAAACTTTTTATATTGATACTACGTATAGTATATAGTACCTGTACACTTTTATACTATATACTTCTAATGGAAAAGTCTTTATAATTTGGGAGTATTGACTCTATTAAATTATCTGCAATTTATTGATTAATTTTTTTTACCGAAGCGTGTTTGAAGCCTCGTAGTTTTCAAGCTTTCTTTTTTTTTAAATACCACATAATTTACTTTCCATGTTTATTTATAGATAAATAAATCATACCTACCTAAACATTATTCTAATATTTTAGCTATTGTGTAATTTTTTGGATATCCAGTGTTTTATGATCTTAGTAATACTTTTAACATAGATGCTACATTATATATAGTATCAACCATATACCATCCGTAGTAATAATACTATATATTATTAAACATTATTATTATTTTATATTATTATATATTACTTCTTCTATCATTTAAAACAAATACTCCTCCTAATGTGTAACAAATTTAATACTAAATCTTCTTATGCATTTGTAAGTACTTATTCTACATTAGAATAACTTTCCTTTACATTATTTTTTATTTATCTTCGATTTAAACACTAAAAATACAATATTATAATCCATAACTTGTCTAATCATTGTTTTATTTTTATAAATAAAATATAATCAATAATAATTCTGTTAGTGATAGCATAAATTTGTTTACAAACATTTACATGAATTTCTGACGAAACTGGTAATAATATTGAAACATTTGAAAAAATGTTTCTTCCAAAGCAATTCTTCTCTCAGCTTTTTCGTTACCTTCTCCAATTATCAACTCTTCAGTTTCCAAGCGAAACTAATCTCTTCATATCGTCGCTACTATCCGAACTGTTTGAAATGATAGCAACGCGTTGTGAAATGCTGCCATATAAATTTGTGAGCGACTGCTCAGAGCGTCAGTCAACAAAACAAAGCGCAATAGAAAAGTATCTAATAGAGCCAAGTATAAAATAAACTAAAATACAAAGTACAAGAAGTTTTAAAATATAAACAAAAATATAAAAATTAATTTGAATAATTTTAATTAATTAAAACGATCAATAAAAACTATAATCGCAGCAATGAATAGCAACAATCAAACAGAAGCAAAAATGCCAAATCAAGAGGCAGTAGCACCTGAACAGAAAATGGAACATCCCAGACAAGCATTTGGCTGCAGATTTTTTGGTCCTCCACATCATTTTCGTCGTGAAGAGTTACCCATATTTGACGATGGCGAAGAGCTTCAAGATCGTAAACATTATCATTTCACAAATAACCATTATTTTGGTCATTACTATTTCAACGGACCACCACGTCACTTCAGACATCATTTCCGTCACAGATGTCAGGAGTATGCAAAATTCCGTCAGGAGGAGGAACCCTTCAAAGATATCTGGTGTGATTTTGCAGTGTGAAAAAAGTGATAGAATGTGAACAAATATTATATAGTATGATGAAAGGCCTAATATTACCAATTAATATAAAAATACTTCAGCAAGAAATAGATTGGTCCCACCAAATATAGCTTTAAAATAAATTATTTTAGTTTTAAGTTTAATTTATTAAAATAAAAATTGTTTAAAAATGTAATTGTTTTTTCTTGGTTTTTATTTAGTAATTAAAACTTTTACACGATAATCGATTCGTTGCTTCACTACAAACACAATTATGAAGTCAGATATGGAATAATAGATATGGAATAAATTATCAAAGCTTTTGAATGAAGATTAACTTTTTTTCACTACTGATTTGATTTTTTGTTTGGTTTCCAAAATATATTATATATTTGATCAACAAATAAGCGTTGGCAGAAATTTTTTTTTATTTGTAGATTAATAATATTTTTATATATTTTTTGTTTACTCTCAAAACATTGCTTGTGGCTGCTTTGGCGGTACATTTGTACTTCATTGAAAAAATGTTTGCGAATAGGTTTTTAAGTCATATTTCGTCATAACAAAAGATTAAAAGTAAGCAAGTGAGATGTATAATTTCTTTCAAGTTTTGTGAATAAATGGCATATACATTATAATTACAGACAAACTTCCATAACCCGAAGTACAATTTTGTAAAGTAAAGGTTCGACTTATGGTGACTTTGAGTTAAAGAATTTTATAACAATTTTGTAACAAGAATTGTATGTAAATTTCTCTTAACCCTGTTGCACTCTATTTAGTTCGAGATATAGACGGTTCCAGTTATAGAGGTTCGAGTTATGGAAGTTTGACTTTAGTTTACTTACTTTACTCTAACATTAACTAAGTGGTCTGATGAAGAGACACCTAGACTATATTACATAAATAACCGCTGATTTAATTCACAGAAATAAGTTGTAGTTATCTTAATTATTATCGATGTCTTACAAGTTACTGAACTATAAGCAACATGGCTCGAAGCTGGACTAGCCCAGTCCAGCAGTGTTGTATTTTACAGCACTAGAAGATCAGATACTAAAGCATCTGTTGTGTTACTGTCCAGGTTTATTTAAATTCAGGCTAAAGCTTATAAGTGCCTCATTCTTCAATTCACTTAACGATATACGCAACATTTATATTAATCGAATAATTGCATCTATCTATTATTGAGGTACACGGTGCAAAATCTAAACCTCACAGCTACTACAATGTTCTCTCGATCTCTTTCTGGTATTTAATTCACGCATTAACTCGTGATTACTATATCGCATTATATCATATCACTTATAAACATATCTCGTACGTACTAAACAAAATCTTTCCAATTATCTTTGATACAATTACAGCTAAAATATTATAAAAATTATAAATAAATTGTTTGTTATGTGCTATCACTACATTTGAGAATATATATTATTAAAAGTATTTATTAAAACAGCCCGAAAAATTTTTACAAACACCAATATAAGTCTAATAACCATACGAGATACATAATCTCGTATGGTTACGATATTGTTATAAATACCGTAAAATGAATCTTATTAGTACTATTAGTGCACTTAACACTTATATGTGGTTTCTGCGATTTAAATCGATGATTTAGTTAACTAAAAAGAGTTTCGTTAAATCTTTTATGTGATTATCGATTAAAGTCATTGTACGTTATATTAACATTAGTTATAAAAAAAAGGTTCCTACTTGATAGGCAACCCCTAATTCCATCTGTTCTAACAGAAAAAATATGTTGCATACTTTAAGAGAATTATCTAATAATGTGTTATTTATAAGTATAGTTTTAGGGATTTGTTTTGTATAACTTGAAGTTAAATCGCTTAATCGCTGTTTATATCGCACTATTAACAATTTGTTTAGGTATTTAATCATTAAAATTAAAATAAAATATTTCATATAATAAATGCAAAAAAAAAAGGAAAGTTTTATTTGCATTTTCTGCTAGTTATTTTCTACAAAAAAGATGTTTAGTTAAATTCAATACAAGATTTTTCAATTATATTTAATACATTGAATATATAATAATTTTATATAACTAAAATAACTAATTTTATTTTGATTACTATTATTTTAACAGAAAATATATGTTATCTAAGTTCCTAATCGCAAATATGTCATATTTTGAAAAATTGATGGTTATGAACGACATAAACTAACGATGTGGCTGACAGTCTCACCAAATGCGAAGCTTTTTATCAAGTCGTCTAAGTAGATTGTTAATCATTAATCGTAGAAAAATATTGTGGAGATATCTCATTTTTTGAACTATTGAGTAAATTGTAAAGTTCAATGTCAGGTTAAAAGATTAGTTATTCATCCAAAAACGATCACTAAACAACTGCTTTTACTGAGCAGAAAGGATATAAAAGTCTATACCGGTTTTCGGATAGGGTACCGCAGGGGCAGGTACTATCTTAACAAAAATTTGCCATCTCAAAATAATGGAATACTGCAAGAGTAGATACTTTCTCAACAAAATATGCTCCTGCTAGATCAATATTTACTACTTTCGTCAAATGGATTTAAATAATTTTTATATATGTTCTGTAATTGTTTAAAACTAAGATGTAGACGAGACACTTCGCAGCATAAATCGATGTTCGAAGTGCTTAAGTTTATTAAAATTCTTAGATTAAGACTACTAGGGTTAGCACAATAAATCATTTGAATCAAAGTGCAGTATATGTGTACCCAATAATGATATGAATAATACTTTCAATAAATAATACAATTTTTTTAAAAAAATACTACTACAAGATTTCTACTCATATTAGTTTTGTACTCTAAATACTGATCAAGTACCGATAGTTGACTGAGGGTGTACCGTTGATTGCATTGCGATAAAAAATATAATTCAAAGTTCAATTCTTAAGCTCTTACTCTTTCAATTAATAATCATCACAGTTGTAATCTCAAATTCTATTTGTTACAAGAATATAATACCAGAATTATGTACTTTTTTCTTATCTGCAACAGTTTGAATATTTATTTTTATTTACATTAAACATTTTTATCTAGGCATATTTATCAGTTGCCTTCAGTTATTTTTATATTACACTAGTTCATTGGAATGAATCATCAATAGAAAGTGCGCAACTGAAGGTAATCTTTCGTTATCAGTGCCATTTTACAGTTATTGATGAAATTTATTATTATAAAATTGCCAGCATTTCCAAAAGAAAATCAGTAAGCATTTGTGACTTCAACAAGAATCAACCTATAAAATATAGGGCAAACCAAAAATTAATTGAATTTTATATTGTATTTGAATATATACTAAAAAGCTAAAATGCCGTGCAATAATCCACCTTTCGGACCTCCAGTTCACCGACCAGCTTTTGGAATATCGGTTCAACTCGGTGGACATCATCACCATCCTCATGGACCACCTCCACCGTATTATGGACATCATCATCATCATCATCATCATGGTTTTGATCATTGGGATTATCACCATGGGCATCACCATGGACACCACTACCACCACCACCATGGACATCACCATGGACACCATCATCATCACCATTGCTGATGTGAAATCAAACTTTATATGTGGAAATTTAATAGATTAAAATATCTTCCTCGATGAAGATGAAAATCTAATAATAAAAGACTATTTAAACCATAAGAAATTTAAGTTATATATAAAACTATTGTAAGAATTTAAAAAAAATTAGTTTAATAAAGACCTTAAGTCTCTAAAATACAAAAATTTCTATGCCTTATATTTATTTAATTTGTTGTTGTGGTTATAAAAAAGATTAGGATTTTTTCTGACTATGCAGTACTGGCGTTGTGAGTTTTATATCACCCGACTTTTTTAGAGTACAATCAAATCTCTTCTCAGCGAAATCTGGAGGGATTATCAATTCGGTTTCGTTAACAGAACGGTCAATATGAAAGGATGTATCCCAAGTGAAATATGCAAACTGATGTGTAGAGACATTGTACGACCAAAAAATGTGTGTTGAAGAGAGAGTATTATAAGAGAGTGTAAGTATTCCTTGTCAATCCCCTCTCTATATAAGAGATTGTATTGTATAATGTAGAGTGTATTGTATTATTTAAAATAATGTTTTCAAACATTGAGTTTACACACTATAAGGGGATAACTCCATTATTTAGGAGAGCAATTTAAGTATAAATTACACTTTTATGCAAATTGATTTCGATTAATATTAACTGACTCTGCTTATTTATATTCTGTTTAAGGATTTTACAGATATGAAAGGAAATCAACTATTTCTATAATATTCATAGTATATACATATATATATGTGGTATCTATATATATAACTATCCATAACAATATATCTATCTACCTTGCGAATCTCTGAGTTTACTCAATGTTTCTTCCCGTCAGCTCCCTAAAATTTTGAATTTATAGTGGTTTATCCAAGGAAGTTCCTCTTCAACTAAAAATCACCATATGCTTTTATGACGATTATTTGGTGATATTACCGTTCTCCAAAAAGACGGAAGCTAGTAAATATTATATTAATCGCTAGATTTCCATTATACTTCTGTTTATCGGTGATAATATTTGCTTAAGATTTTGTTTTGCTTTGCCTAAAGAAACCCAAGTTAGTGTTTAAGCGCTTTTACGCTTCTATGTATTTAGGTCACTTTAACAAATGTTCCAATAAATTATAACAATGAGTTATATACAAGTATATGACGAGTCCCTTTATTTAGATCTATTAGGGTTCTAGACCAACCATTAAATAGGACTTCAACCTTCGCTAAAAGTTCAAAGTGGTTCTAAACCTCTGAGATCGTCTTACACGGCAATACAATAGCTCAATAGACATGAGTGGATTCTTTTGGATCGCTGGTACAATCTAACCTAACCTAACCTTACTTATTTCACTATCTGAAAGTGTTTGGTGTGAAGGGTCCTTTTAAACACAATCAGTGATGTGTAGTTCTGTAAGAACTTTCAATATGGTTGATACTTGTTTTTTATAATACATCAGCTTTCATATTGCTCTCTTAATTATTATTACTTGTGCCCCGGGACAAAAATCATTTTGCTACTCGGTTTCGGTACTTAGGCTTTCTGCTTCTCCATTATTTTAGAGGTTGTGAATGCATGAATGCAGAATCTTTGGTGGTCCGTTCTCTAAAAAATTGTTTATATAATTGTATACATTGCTTAATAAATATTAAAAATTTTTTTAAAAAATAAATCTCTAGCACTAGAAATGGTTTTCAAAAAAAAATTCAAAGTCTTGTATTTTGTTTATTGAATTCTTGTGTTTACAAAATATAAAAAGTTGACTTTGACCTATGATATCTAAATATCTCAAAAAATACAGATTTTTAATTTTAAATTATTTTATCGTAGTATTTTTTTTATCAACTATCTTATCATTTCTTGATGTTTTTGCGTCTGAAAATTTGCACTCACTCTTGCAGTCTTCGACAGATGCTGAGCATTCTAAATATTAACACCAAAAAAAATGTTAGTAATGCTACGTTATTCATCAAGAAAGTTTTAAGAGTTCAATATACAATATAATAGAAATATTTTGAAAGAAATATATTCCTGAAAAAAAACGGTGAATCCTTTTTTGGGTAAATATGAGGTAATGATATATTTTGGGTTGTTGAAGTGTATCCTTTTTCCAAGATTTCTTTGACGTTTGATTAATATTGGGATTAAGGGGTTTTATGGACGGAATACTTTTTGCGGAGAATTCTTTAACTTCTAATTAATAATATACTACAAAAATGTTAAAGGTATTCAAATACTTTATTTCATTTTTTCATTTTTATAACTTTTTAAAGAAGTTATATACCAGATAGAAATTTTCAACTTTTTCAATGAAACTAAAAACTTCTAAGTCATTGTCTAACACAGAAATTATATATTTTTATTTCTATAAGTCATGATAAGTAAAATATTTTTTTCTTGTTTAAGGATATTAGAAACAATCTATGACTAACAAATACGATTGGTTTCTGAATAATCAGCATAAAATATTTATTTCAAAAATCCAATTAAAAAGAAATACCCAAATACAGAATGACTAGCCCACACTAGTCAGAAAATATTACTTTTGACAATAAAGTTTTATTTGTTTTGGATCAATAAATAGAATCGATTAGATAATATTAGATAATTAGTCATGATAGTAAAGAACACTTTGGCACATACTAGAAGCTTAAGTACAAGGCAAATGTCAATGGTAAGTCATATGGAGGTAAATAAACAAACATATTATTATGTTTGGAAACAATATTAATTGATAAAGCGATAATTATTGTTGTCTATAATTTAATAAAAATGAAAATAATTGTTAAAATACTTCAACTGTTTATTTGATAGTACGTGTATTTCTGGCATATTTTTTTCGGTAAATTTCCGATTAATTAAATAATAAGTTGACTTACGTAAATATAAAGAAAGTAAAGGTGCATTGATCTATAATTAGTTAATAATAATATCTGTATCAATAATCACTTGTTTATGTTAATTGAAAACAAACAAAACCTCTTTGATTCTGGTGAAGACTAGAATGGTATTCTAATGGGATTCCTGTTTGCACTTAACTATATGCAATTTATGCATTTACTATGAAACCATTCTGTTCATATAGTCTTCTATTTATTTATCTTATTGAAAGAGTATTAGCTCGAAAACAAACCTAGTTAGTTTTTGTAATGTAAAATAAGTCAGTTCTGGGATGAGTTCTAAATCCAGAACTCACTTCACACTTAAGGTATCACACAGAATACCAACGTGATTCCTTCTGCGTATTTTTAGCGGAAGTGATACCACTTTAAGTTGCTGTTGATATACTATTATAAGCAACATATATATATTAGAAACTGTTGATATACCTATTTTCTAATAACGAAACAGCAATCAAAACTTCACATTTCTTATTAAAAAAAAGCAGCCCTATCCTATGTTATATCTCTAAATGTAATAATGACGCATTCATTGCCAGAATACCAGGTCATAGTATCGGCACTTGTACATGAGAAGAATTGGCTTGTATAAGAAAAGTCATGAGCTATATTAGTTATTATCCCTTATTATTAAAAATTTAAAAGATGTGGCAAGATGTTAACATCATTTGGCAAAATGGATGAAAAATGAAATATATATGCGACCCACAAATTAATTTAATGCAAGCAAACCAAATAACTTCAGTTAATCGTATATTACTTACGTTTTTTTAATAATAATTCCCTTAATTATCATAATTGGTATATATGCACGAAGACTTGGAACTCAAATAGACTTGGTCTATTTTGTGGCTTCTGATAAAAATAAATAAATCGAAAAGAACTAGCAAATTATCATCTATTAAGCAGATGCCTAGCTTTGTAATCAAATTAGCAACGGTTCTTGGAAAATCTTTTTCGAAGACCCTGGAAAACTATTAGAAATTAATATTTTTAATTTATTATTTTAAAAATAATTTAGTTAAAGTAAATTTGGTAGGTCTTAATTAAGAACATATGTATAGTAAAAACTCCAAATTACTTGAAGTGAATAACATCTCAGGTCAGCAGTCTTATGACAACTCAACGGATCCATAAGTGGTCCACGTAGAGTCTGATATAGCCTTGAACTTATATCTAAATATGAGCCATTAGTAATAGAAAACAGGTTTCTAGTAAACGTAACGTATTTTCATTTAATATTATTAGAAAAATTTTTTCTACATTCACTGAAAGGATGTTCTTATTATTGGATAATTTTTTTAATAATAAGAGTAATCATACATTATTTCTTAAAAATGATTTATATTAATAAAAATCATTAGCTCCCTTAGACACGTTTCCACATTTAATTAGTTTAATACATTTTTTCTCTTTTTTTTAATTAATTATATACATATGTACATAATAATTTTAGTACAAAAACAAAATAATTATTTTATTTTATTTTTTATTTTTTTTTTTTTTTTTTGACACACCCACCATAACCACGACCAACGCAAATAAAAATATTTATCTTAGCTTTTATATATATTTTATCCGTGCTATTTACTAATGACTTTTGCACTCGTTTCTTCTTTATTTTTAGTAATAAATTTATTTTAAGTTTATGATATATTAGTGACTTATAGTATATTAAATACTTAACATTACTCGAAATTAATATCTATGCTATCTTATCGCAAGACTTTCCTCTTTACTTTTATTTGCAAAATTTTGTAATTGCATATATACTTCAGCTTGATATAGAATTATTTTAGTTAACAAAAGCACTTACTATAGTTAAGCAACTAATTTAATTAAATTAAAATATATTTGTTGTTTTATTTAAATTAAAAATAATTTAAAATGCCGCATCATCCTGGACAACAACCACATCATCAACCAGCTCATCACCATGAACCACATCATGATCCACATCATGATCCCCATCATCACGGACCATCACACCATGGGCCACAGCCAACACATTATGGAGTACACCAAGAACCACATCACTCACAACCCCATCATCAGCCCCATCAACCACCTCATCATCATTGATGAAGGAAATAAGGCGAAACTTTTTTATTTAAACACATAATTTAATAATATAATAATAATTTAATATAATCAGATGATTGATGTGTATATTGAACCATTTTAAAGAAATTGTACTCCATGAAATTATATCCTTCATTATTTTTAATTTAAAATTTGATTACTTAAAAATATAAAATATTAAATTAAATTCAAAAAAATGGGCGGAGAATTGCATTCTTAGAACAAAACCTTGACGAGGAGATAACCCTTGTAGATTAAGATAGGCATTGCTAAATTTATTTGGGAACTTATGGAAAGTAAGATAAAAGGGTTAATAATTAGATTCAGTCTTTTCAAATGCACTATTACTAATAACCCCTAATAACCCCGAAATAGCACATGCGTAGAACTTATGAAATCCCAATAATATGGTATGAGGATATGTCTGCAAAAACATTATCCTCTTTTACTAGTTTCTGAAAGAACTTACCTGTTTAGAAAAACAAAATAATTTTTGTTACAATTATTATTATGTAGAAAATAGACCGTATCACTGTGCATCACTATTCCGACCATCTATCGTGCTAACTGCAATTCCTTTAATCGATCCTTGGGATTTCGTTGAAAGTGAATTCCTAGAAGTATTTTGTTTTATTATATAGATCATGTAGGTAATGAACTTGTACCCAAGATGGATAATACTGCTGCTTCCCAATTTTGGGTTTCAAGGATTTCTTCTTTTCAAGGAACTCACAGATATTGATGTCGGAAAGGTTAATTCATTTCCTTGGAACTATAAATGCGTTTCACTAAATTTCTAAACACAAATAAATTTAAATAAATTATTTTTATCGTTCTAAAATAAAACAATTTCTGTTATCTTCCTGTTAATATTTTATTTTATGATTACTTATCATATAAATTGATTCAGCACGTGTATACCTAAATCGTCCGGAGTTTTTTTCCTAACTTTTGACATATCTATTTTCATTTGATAACAGTTAAAAATAGATATTTTAAATTAGATTTTTGTTGTCATATTATTTATTCACATTGGCATTAATGGAAGTCAAAGTGTACAATCAAGTATGTGTAAAATCCTCATAATTAGTTATTTTGTTTTACTTAATCAATTTTACTCAATTATTTTGAAACAATAAGTCATTAAACCCGAGTCGACTATAATATTTGGATATAATCTATATAAATATATATATAAATTTATATATTTATTTATATAAATTTAATCGAAACAGATTTAAATTTATATTAGGAAAAACTATTTTCGGAAATTATTATTATAATATGATTAAGTTCAAAACAATTTAAAACAACAAACAAAAATTCTGTCTCATGCAAACTAATAACCACTAATTCTGAAGTATACTATAGATTAGAAAAAATCATGGACACAAAATTCCCTAAATATATATTAAAAGGGGTATTTCATGTCCCTTAAATTACGACATATGTCAGTGTGCGAAGTTTCACTCATCTTACTATTGTTGTAGGATTTGGGTTGGTCTTTAGCAGGTATCTATCTATTCAAAAAACTTTAATGCTTCATTCTTTATCTATCTTTAAACTGTCACATGTTTTAGGTTTTTATGCAGATCCAAATTCCTGATATATCAATAGGGTTTCATTGTTCTCAGCGCTATATTTTCACTAGTTCAAAGCTTGTGGATAGTAGATATAGCTGGTATACCTGAGTAATTGTAATCTTATGACAGTTGTGTTATTTAATAACTCATTATCATGTATATTACTTTCTTTCAATATAACAATGAGAAGGTATGACTAAAATAATTAAACTTAACGATATTTCATACAACATACTTTGAATGTACTTTTCTTATTTAATCTTTAGTACTTCCCATTACCACTCCTTCAAAATTTTGTTAACTTCAGTGCAATGTATGACAATAATTGTACTAATTCTATTGCGCATAAAGTGTTATCAATATAATTTATGATACCTTGCTTATTATATTCTTTAAAAAATGCTTATCTTTTCTTATCTTATCAAGAATAGTTCCTGTTTTAATTTCTCTTCAATACTCTCACCATATATAATCGATAATATTCTTTTTAATATAAAAAGTATATTCTATTTAATTCCATAAAGTGGCTAAACCCTAACAGTTTGTAAACGTTGCTCAGCAAGTAACGTACTAAAATTTAGTTATTGTTAATACAGTTTATACCTGACCTACAAAAATTAAAATGTCACATCACGGACCATACGGTGGACCACCACATCATCATCATGGACCTCCACATCATGGACCTCCACCCCATCATCATGGACCGCCACATCATGGGCCTCCACATCACGGACCACCACACCACGGACCTCCACCACATCACCATGATCACCATCATCATGGACATCCACCACATCACCATGATCATCATCATCATCATCATGGGCCACCACATCATGGACCTCCACACCACCACCACCATTGTTAGGAATATTAAATGCTGTTTATAAAAAGATTTATTAATTGTTATATATTTTATATTAATATCATTTTTTTAAAATTTTTTATGATTTTACTTATTAAATATATACTTTTAGTGGAAAGTCGTTAAAACTCTTGCTAGTTGATTATTTAATGACTATGGGATTATATGTTTAATACAAGCTTAAAAACAGTAATGAAAATAAATTACTATATAAACTACTGAATCCATTGTTTAAAAATCATAATACAATAAATGATACGTTTTGCATTATAGTCGTAAAAAATTTTTTTTTTGAATATAGAACCTACGGACACTTTTAAAAATATTTCCTTTTAAGATTCCGTCATGTATTTAGGAGTTGCGAAGTTTGATTTGGAAGTGCTTTTTGGTGACCATATGTTTATATTTGATTTTCATAACTCATGTATGCGGTACCCGTAAATAATTTTACAAGAATCAGTCCTAATAAGAAATAAAGAAATGGTTTTAACATAATCGGTTAACAGTCATGGTCATTTAATTTATGGACATTATTTCTGAAGAGGTTTTTCGAAAGATCCATAAAATATCACTCTATGGAAACTATTAGCTTTTCGTTTAATAAAAAATAAATTTTACAAAACAATAATGTCAGGTTTAGGTAGTGGCGGATATCAGTTTTGGTAATTAAACTGATCACTAGAAAGAATCGCACTATCCTTTAATGGTCTTAGCAATTGTTTCTTGGGAGGTACATTGCTCTTACAGAAAGTGTACTCTTCTTCCGTATACTTGGTTTTTTTCGCACTAATTTTCGCAACCAATTAATTTAAAAGGTTTCAATAGTAACCTTAATTTCTATTACGATTTCATCAGCAATACGCTAAAAAAATTTATTTTGAAATCCAAAAAGCCATCATTATCTTAGTTCGATTTGGGAATCCAACTAGTTTAAAGGCAAAAAGTCTACGGTAAATTGCAGTACTCCTTAGTTTATTGTTTTTATTCACTAATCATAATACATTATACTACATCATTTATTCAGTAGATTTACATATCATTCACTGTGAGCAATTAGTATACATTAATACTTTTTATCTATCTCTTTACCTATACCGCTCCGGATGTTCTAAAAATGTTGGACTCAAATGTGTTTCTGCTGCATTATCAGTAAAAAGGATTTCCATGTTTTCTTGATTTTTGAAATCCAAAACTTGACATAAAATATTGCTTGCGATACCTAATGAAATGCTTAGAGCTTCTATTAAATATCTTTCCATTAATCCACGCTTTTCCAAAATCGAACTAGTATGCTGTATTTTTGCAAGAATTTCAGGTGTTGATGTAGGTTTTGAATGCTCGTAGTCTCGTAGTTTGACTACCTAGGCTTGTACAAATGGTTTAATGTAAACTAGCCCTTGTTGACTCATAAACTGTAGTATTAACACTACTCCTTGCAGCGTATTTTCGAGGAAGTACCTCGAAAGTATACCTATGTTTACATATGTTATTCATCTAATAAATGCGACGTAAATATTTATTTGAAAACCTTATCTAATTACTATTGATAAGCAATACTAAACCGATAAAGATTTATGAAACATACTTAATACTTTTAGTTAAATGTACGTACATTATCTATATTAATGCAATCGGCCATTTTATCACGTTTTTAGTGTAGATTTTTTGTAGTGCTAATTTTAACATTGCAAACGATAATTACTCACAACATTTGCTATTTATTATGATACTATTTATCTAATCAAAAATATTTTTACCAACTGTCTACGGTATGAAATGTGAATACTGGAGACTTAGTTCAAAAATTTGGGCTATAAAATATTTGTTTATATTAGTTAGTTAAAGCGCGTGCAAAGTAGTTAGTTACAATCAGTCAGTCAAAAAGCTACGTAGTAGATCTGAACCATCGCGCCTGAACTCGAAAATAAAACATAAATATATATTTAATATATTTACTAAAAAGTTAAAAAATCAAGAATAAAATGCCACCACCAGGACACGGTCACGGACATGGAGGTCATCACGGACATGGAGGTCATCATGGACATGGTGGACATCACGGTCATCATGGACATCACGGTCATCATCATGGTCCTCGCTGTTTCTGTTGTGTTATATCATAGTAAAACTTAGAATCTGTTAATAAATATAACAATTTATCTATAAGACATTTAAACTATAAATTTATTTTAATTATATGATTATTGTGAGAAAAGAATTTCTGGAAAGTGATGCGCTTTTTAAATACAACTAAGACATTTAAATATAAAACGTTGGTTTTTTTGTTTGCTTAATTATATACATTGTGAGGCAACGATTTTTGGAAAGAAAAGCATATGCAAAGTATAACCTGATTACTTAAAAATACGATATATGTATGTTTACTTCTTACTTAATATTTTTACTTAGAAAGTGTTGGGCAGAGTACTTAAGTTTAAAACGAGTGTATAACGATTTTAACAACTTAAATTCGAATATTTTAAAAATAAAGAAATGGAACGAAAATTTCAAATGGTTACTTAGTACATATTAAAAATATTACTTGGAGTTTATTTCGAAAAACCTATCATTAATATATGAATACGAGTATCATTTCTTCAAGAAACGGTTTTGATAAAACTAAAAAAGAGTTTACACGATTCATGTGATATATGATATTACCTGCTGCTTACAACAACATATTAATAAATCAAATGAAGAAGTAAAGTGTATCTTTACTCTCAGTATGATTCCGATTCCACAAACCTGCTCATCTAATAATGGATCTTAAAGTTCATAAAGTCTTTACATCCGTAAAATATTTTCAGATACTTTCAACAAGTATTTTCACTGCGTTTTGTAGAATAGTTGTCGATATATCGGGTTTTAAGCAGTAAATTTATCAAAAAAGCTATATATATATATAATCATGTCATCTGGCGTGTCACTGTCGGCGTCCACCAGAAAGCTTCCGTGCCACTTGTATTTTATTCTGTAAATAAATTTTAACTGTTTAAGAGGTCTCGATCTAATTTGAAAGAAGTCAGGGTTCCCAACATACCAAAAAATATATATATTTCTATTTAGCATAATAAAAATGTTAATCCTGTTAGAATTACCATTATTACGATATAATATACAAAATAGTCGTATATCATCATTATCATAATAAGAATAACTGCTATACATCATTCTAAATTATATTTTTATGGAAACTAGTCCTCTACAGTCTACAAAAATATTTTTCTAAATTCACGTATTCTGCGCGAACATAACACCTACTATGCACACATATTTCTGAAAGCTATAACTTGACGTTGTATATTACTTACATGAATCTAATGATATGTCTAGAACTTTTACTTAATCTCTCTGCTCATTTCTCCAAAACGGTCCTAGTATTTTCTGACAATTTTAAATGTCAATGCAGTTTTTGGATGTCATTCCCTTGATTGACTTTGAACTGTTGTACAAGCGTTCTTAAACAAACTGGGCCCGGCTGACTCATAAACTGCTATATTCACATTTGGGTTATACTACTATTTGAAAGCATTACTCCTTGAAACACATTTTCGAGGAAAAACTTCGAGTACGTATGTTATTTACCTAATAAATGTGACATAAATAGCTATTTAAAGACCTTATCAAATTACTATTGATAAGCAATTGAAAACCGATAAAGAGATATGAAATACATTTAGCACCTTAAGTTAAATACACATTATCTATATTGATTCAATCAACCATTTTATCAAGTTTTTAGTGTTATTTCCTTCCAGTGCCAATTTTAATATTGCAATTTATTTAATGAGTATAATTTTTGAGATCTCAGTATGTACTTTAAGACTATAAAATATTTGTTTATATTAGTAAGTTAAAGCGCACGTGAAGCAGTTAGTTAAAGTCAGTCAAAAAGCTACGTAGTAGATTTTAATAATCGCGCCTGAAACTCGAAAGAAATATAAATAAATATCTATAAATAAAAATCTATTAAATTTATTAAACAAAAGTTAAATAATCAGAAATAAAATGGCACAACGATCAGGGCACCGTCACGGACGTGGTGGACATCATGGACGTGGCGGACATCATGGACGTGGCGGACATCACGGACGTGGCGCGCATCATGGACATGGTGGACATCATGGCCATCATGGACATCATGGTCATCATGGACATCATGGACATCATGGACATCATGGCCATCATGGACATCGTGGTCATCATGGACACCGTGGACATCATGGCCATCATGGACTCCATGGTCATCATGCACTTCATGTTCAACATGGAATTCACGGTCATCCTGGGCATCATAACCAGCAGGGATATAGTGGTCATCATGGACATCATAGTTTGTGTTGTTGTGTTATATTATAGCAAATCTTAGCGTCCACTAATAAATCTAACAATTTATCGATTATAAACGATTATTTCATTTTAATAACGACTATTGTTAGAAAAGAATTTCTTGAAAGTGATAAGCTTTATAATATAAATTTTTTGTTGTTATTTTAATTATATATATTGTGAAGAAGTGACTTCTGAAAAGAAATGCGTTTGAATAGTATAACTAAATTACTACAATACGGTACAAGTTTATTTTAAACTTAATATATTTACTTATAAACAGTTTTTTGGAGGAAATTATATATGATTTTACACGTTTATAATAACATATCAATAATTTAAATTAAAGCGCAAATTGGATCTTTACTATGTGGATCTCGTCAATATTCCGAACAAGAAATACAGATAGACACCTCCATTCAGGCCTACTTCCTAAATTTTACTTTTCCTAATCTTGCGAAATAGCACCTTTAAACACATAGTATTTACCGATAATAATATATGCATTAGAATATATAAAAAGTATCTACCGTTTTTTGGTACATTTATAAACTAAAATTTTTTTTATTAAAAACTAATTTTGTTATTAAATAATGAAATAAGTTTATATTGGACATTGTTATTTCTGAACTTTTGTTATTTTTCAAGTAACTTCATAATTCCATTGGTGTAGAAATTCTTTGGTTTACTAGTGAAAAACTTGGACCAAGTTATTATCTTTGGAGCGTTGGTAAACCAACTTTTTACCATTAAGATACTCTTATAGATACTAAAGCAAGAGTTAGCAGAAAGTGCAAGGTCGGGGCTGTACCGTGGATGAAACTCTCCAGCAAAGTTCTATTCAATTTATTTCAAATCATAAAAGATGTATGTGACTTGGCATGGTTGTCATGAAACACAACTCGTTTTTCTGTTGGCCAATTCGGGTCTCCATTTTTTTAATTATTTCATTTAAGCGATTATGTTATGAATAGTAGAGCACCGAATTAAGGGTTGTACCAGACTGGTTCAGCTCATTATAGACAATTTCCTTCAAATCCCAACAAACACACAGTATAATTTTGTTTGCCGCCAATTTAGACTTTTAAGTCATTTGTAAAGGATTAGAGTCGTCACTATCTGTGATAGTTTTAGAGGTAATTAAGAAAATAGAAAAATGGACCATTTTTTGCCCTAAAATTGAAAGAGTTCCGGTAGGCCGATTAGACTTGAGAATTAGACTCAAAGGAAGGCCATATCAAAAACAAAGTTTTAGGAGAATTTCATTTCAAAATCTCTACTCTACTCTCTCTCTCTCTGTCTATCAGAAAATACAGAATTTTTATCGGCTACTTTCTGCTTTGGCACACTGTGCCTGTGCCTATGATGACTTGCATAGGATATTATCGCGTTTAATCCATTTTTCATCACCCGTTTTTTTCATCAGTACTTCTCAATATAAATTTTTTCATTATCTTTCTGTGTTCAATCTTCAAATTAATAACACCAGGTACTTATAATATTAACATTAGGCAGATAATGCTATCGAACATAGAAATATGTATGAGTATAGTAAATGATATGTGAGGCTTTGATCATAAAATATTCTTAAAACCCATAATTTATATGTGAAGCTATAGTCATAAAATATTAAAAACCATAATTTATTACTGCTTAGTTATCATTTCGGTAACTACTCTACTGATGAGTAATTAGGAAATTTATGACTCACGAAACTCTGTCATGAGTCATGTATGAAAATCTCAAACAAATTGTAGTATTATCTTCCACCCATTAAATTTTTTTGGCCTGTTATTCTATATTGCTCTTATGAGAGCACATATTTATACTTACTTATAATGTATTATTGTAAATCTCTGGGATTTTTTGTACAGCAATACACAAACTAAAATTAGATTTTGATAAGCGAAAATAATCAGTAAAATATTTAATATTTAATTAGTTGCTTATAAGTGAAATTAGGCAAACAATATTTATTATTAAACAAAAATGAAATTAAATGCAAATATTTTAATTTTGTAATATTTCTAGCAGAAAATAAGGTTCTACATTTGAAAATTGTATACTTTGCATCAGTTATCTCCAATCATTTGAGTGGTTGACTACATAAATTGAGTTTTTAAAATGATTTATAATTTCATTCTAATTTATTTAATATTCAAAATAATTTCACCTGTTTTTTGTATTAATTTAACACCAACCCTAAACACCAAGAACGGTGCTTTGTTTGGTGAAAATAAAGGTTACTACAATGCATATAAGTCCATACCTTATGCACACCCACCTATAGGAGAATTACGTTTTGAACCACCCAAAGCATTAACAGAGAGTTGGGCCCACATATTAAATGCTACAACCACAGCATCCAAGTGCTTACAGTGGCTTACAACAGAAACGAGTGATCCTATAGTGGGTAGTGAAGATTGTTTATACTTGAATGTGTTTGTACCACAACGGAATCAAAAAACACAGTCATCTATTTTACTACCAGTAATGGTTTTTATACACGGTGGTGGATTAATGTGGGGTTCAGCAGATTTTTATGGTGAAGAATATATAATGCAGAATGGCGGTATAATATTAGTAACATTTAACTATAGATTAGGTCCATTTGGTTTTCTAAGTACTGAAGATAAGGAAATACCAGGTAATATGGGTTTTAAAGACCAAACTATGGCACTTGAATGGATATACGAGAATATTTATGATTTCGGTGGCGATAATACTAAAATATTATTGTCAGGTTGGTCAGCTGGTGGCGCCAGTGTAAATTTTCATTTAGTATCAGAGCTCACACATGCTGAATGGTTTAATAGCGCTGCTTCTTTTAGCGGTACAGCACTTTGTCCTTGTCATGCCATATATAGCGGAGCTGCTTTAGAAAAGACTAAGCAAATAGCAGCTTACTTAAATTGCAGTGTAGAATCACTCAATACTACAGAAGGTATTAAAAAATGTTTGAAAACAAAAACAGCTGTAGATATCATTAGTCAAATCAAAAAATTTTATAAATACGCCAATCATCCATTTGCCATCTTTGGTCCGGTAATCGAAGACAAAAAGAGTGCGCAACCCTTTCTACTTAATCATGTGGAGAATTTAATGTATCACGGTAAAGTGAAAGCAAAACCATGGTTAGTTACTATAACAGCACAAGATGGTGGTTTCGGTACGGCTGAGTTTCTTAAAAAGGGTGCTGATGGTCGTGAACTTATATATACTTTAAATGACAAATGGACTGAATTAGCGCCTATAATGTTGTTTTTTAATAGTACACTTACAAAAGAACAACAAGTGAAATTAGCGCTGGAATTAAGGCAAACATATTTTGGTAGCAAAAATATTAGTGTGGAAACATATACAGAACTTGAAAATCTCTATAATATGGAATTAAGCATAATGCATGTTAATAAAGTTGTGGAATTATTTGAAAAGTTTACAAGCAACGCGAAAGTATATGGGTATATCTATGATAACCCTGCACCATTTAGTTACGGTAATGTGCAAGCGGAACGTGATGATTGGAAATTTGGTATGTGTTTACTTTTATAATATATTTTATATGCTTGTTTGAAAATTAAAGTATAAATTTACTTAAGGTACTCTACATGGTGACGACATTTCCCTTATATTCAAAACATCCATCCGACACAACCACCCACTTACCACGGATGAGTTGAAAATATCAAAACAACTCATTGAAATGCTCGTGGGTATGGCGAAGTCAGGGTAAGTAGAAACTGAAGTTTTAATTGATATTATAATTATTAATTTATTTTATTTATAGTTTGCCCACGTATACAGGAACAGCTTTACCACAGTTGAGAGCTGAAAACCAATATCAATTTCCTTCAATAACGAAAAATGGTATACAAAATATATAAGAAAGTACGAACAAAGACACCTAAATCTATTTAATTTGTGTGCAAAATCATTATAATTTAAGACAAGTAACATGTAACTTATATGCTAAGAATAAGATATAACAATAGCAGTTCATTTCTATCATAAAATATTTTTATATATACACTAAGGTTTATATACAAATATAAAGAATGTAGGATATACATAACTTAGGTAATTTTCGACTTCAAGAGCAATGCTAAATATCCTAACAGAGATATCTATGTCATATAGATGCCCAAATCAGTACAAAATTTTGAATATATTATCAGTTTATTCACCCAAAACTGTTCAATAATTTAAATAGTTTTTGATATAAAGCTTTTCAATATGGGTTTTTTAAAATTGTACGCCCTGGTATTGTATATTTTTTCAATACCAAATACAGTTTCTTTATAAATTTGATTCAAATAAATGTAACATCAAATCTCATTTAATCTTCCAGCTGATATATATATTTTAATGAGAGAACTGTCTTGTGTACAAAAAACCGGGTTTTAAAATTATCAACTAATTTTAGATTATATTGAACATTTATGTAATTTAGTCAACATTTAAGAAAAACAGTGGAGAATAGAATATATGGGGTATAGAATATGGTATAGTATAATGGTATAGAATATATATGGTACCGAATGCTATCGGAGTGAAATACTACAACCATAGCTGTCTTTTTACGACCCTAATTGACTTCAGCTCCGCAAAATACACTCCAGCATTCAAATCAAAGATTTTCGCAGAAAATGTAATTAGAGACCCCAATCATCTTCAAGCAAAACTTATTTTATGTATTTAATTTTATTTTATTTTATTTTATTTTATTTTATTTTATGTTTTCTTAGATAGATCCATATTGTTATTTTTTTTTTATTTTTACGTATTAACGTTATTACTCTATAATAATAAAATCTTCATTTCATTGCTTCTAATTCGTCTAAAAATAATTTACTAAATAAATACTTCGTTATTCAAATAACAGCAAAAAAGTTTTAACATTAAATGCAAAAATAAAGACTAATAGTCAAATAATCTGCTTCTAGTCCACATTAATGATGGTGGACTAATTGACTATTTCTGTCTCCACAGATAGACTAATCTTGTTAAGATGGTTATGCAGGCTATGATAATCCATTAAATGAACCTTTGTATAATCTCAGTTCTGTTCTTCTGGGAGCGACGAGCTATAGTAGTTGTAGGGACACACCAGCTACATGGAGTATAGGAGCAGTAATGACTATATTCGTTCGCAATCATTTTTATATCACAGACCTCTCAATTTCTCATCCAATCACAATAAGGTACTAATTTATATAATTTAATAACTAATGCAATCCTTTCAGGATTGTCTACTGATACATTGCAATTGATTCCCTTGTGATCAGATATTTCATCAGTGGTTGTAGGATATGATAAACAATAAATCAAAATAGTAAGGTTCGTCAAATATGACTGAACTGTTTAAATTGGGAGGTTTAAATAGTAATAAATTGCAATAACAAAAAGTTTTCAAATTTAAAACTATTTTCTTACTAGAAACTATTTTCTTATTAGAAAGTATTTTCTTAATAAAAACTTTTTTTTAATAATAGTGAAAGAACAAAATTAAAATTTTTGATTAAATTATTAACGAACTAATTTTATTTTGTTTTATTTAATTTTTTTTGAGTGACCATGCCTAGCTATTTCGAGTACTAACACCCGTCCATTAGTGATCTTAAATATATTAGTTGATTTTATTAGATCGTATATAATTATTGGACTGCAAGTGGTAGGCGTAGAACTTTGAATAAGTAAAATTATTATTATTAAAAATATTATTTTTAGTATTATACTTATAATAATATAATTATATGCTAGTCTGTGGATGATTGATTAGACTCATTAGACTCAATAGCAATTCTATGTTCGTTGTTGTCTGAATGGCTAAGTGATCTAAGGTATCAGACTTCCTGCTGTCCTTCTCTCCTAGTGGAGCATAGGGTCTCAATCTCATAATTGTAGTCCATTTTCCCTTTAACGATTAATATAGTAGAATTATATATTAGTCCAAAATGTTACTTAACGTGTTGCTGCATTATAATTTATTCCAAAACGCTTAAGTTGCATGCATTTATATAAAATATGATATATAACTGATAAAAACAAGTAATACACAAAACATAAAGTTTAATATTAATCTATTGTATATTGTATTAACATATATTTTGCATGAAATACTTGACATATTGTTTGCCTGAAATTCACTATTATTCTATAATTCATAAACACAAAAATCCTTTTAATAATTGTTAACAGCTTATCAAGTTAACCTCATAAACTACGCCAACTAACCGAGAGTCATGCAAATCACTTGAAAATCACTCAAGTTTTAAATAAGGATAATCCTTAAGTGTGCACACAGGCAATAACGTGGCAATGAACGTACTTGGGTTAAAAATAATGTGAAATACAAGCGAAAATCGCTTTAAACCACGCGCACTCTAACGTCAACATGCTCACTCAACGCCGCTATAAATCTAACAAATAATAAATTTTACTTTAGGCCCACACTTCACTGGCTTTATGGTCTACAAATTTTCTAGTCAAATACTATTCACAATTTTTGCACATTGTAGCGTTTAGCAGCAAATTTGTACGCATTGTCGCGCTTTATGCTCCTTTCGTCCTCTCGTCCTCTCGTCCTTTGCGTTTCTTCGTGCTTTTTAAAAACGCGCCCACAAGGCAACGAACAATAAACAATCCAAAGTTGCCTTCGGTCGGGTATTAAAGTTCAGAGTCCGTCTGAGCCGTCGACACTCCTTCACTCCTTTTTTCTGCGTTCACGATGGCTAGTTTAGTTTTGCTGATTTGGGCTTTTTTTAAGCGGTCGCAGCTAAATTTGATGAATGTCCTGACAGCAAAAAGTTGCTACTTCTCGTATTTCAAGTGAAATGTATTGCGTGAACTAAAGCACTTTCATTAAGGATTTTTTTGGTGTTTTGCTATTTATTTAGTGAATTTTTTAAGGCTACCTTAAAAGCGATTAAATGAAGATTTTATTATAATCGAGTACTTAAGTAAATAGTAAAAAAATTATAGAAATATAATTTAAATAAAACTAACAACACTTCTGGTAACAACAAGATGGCGCACCACCTTGCATAACTTGTGCCATAATGGAATTTTTTCAAACCATTTTTCCCCGACCGCTTGATCTCCAAAAGTTTTAATTTTGATTGGTCATCACTGAGTTCATTTAGTATGGTTTAATATGGTATAGTTTGACCAGTATAGTTCCATTGGGTGTATTTTTAAATAATATACTGTTGCTTTACGGATTTTTATTTTGTTTTATATAATTTTACAAACTATATCCAAATGTGCTGCAAAAGTGACGGTTACACATCTTGGATATAATTTTCCGAGAATACTGCTAATAATAAGACTTACTCCGTTTGCTGGAGTAAGTGTCAGCCTGATGTTACTATCGTAGTATTAGATGCCCTGCTCGCCGGGAGCAGGAAATAATAAAAAAATCCAAAAATGTTTTTCATTGAGTAATAAAGTTCAGAGTGCGCTCTACGGATATATAATCTTAACCTTCCACTTGGAATTTGTACTTTATGTAGGTGTAATTTTTCAACCTTACATCAGTTTCCCTTTTGTTTTTCGTGCTTGTGCTGCTTTAAAATCTATTAAGATCAACTGTAGATACACATTGATAACTTTTGCTATCCATTATTTGCTGTCATACCAATAAAGTCTTAAACTTAGTATCTACCTCTGTTGGAGACATCGGATATTGACTTCTCCCATTACTTCTAGAATCCCAGATTTCGTAATTCTTTCTATTACAAATTGTGCGTTTTGTGGGTAGTGCATAAGCTTTTTCTAGAATAGCTCTAGTTGGATTCTTTTTAATTTGAATGTGCTTTATGTCCATAATCATTCCCGACATTTTACAAAAACAGACGATTTATTAACTTATTAGGGAGCTATTTTCAGGTAACTATTATTTTAATGCTTGGGTATGCGAATATAATGTAGAACAAGAACAATGATAACTTATCGATATAGAACCTACCGCATAAATCTCTTTTTCTACCAGTCACAGATCAAGATTGATACTCGACTTTCTGAATTTGCTAAAATGCAAAAATAGGTTCGGTTAGGTTCGGAAGGCGCTTGCTGGCCGTTGTCAGTACTTCCACTCGGAGGCATATATTGCCCATTGTGATGCCCTCAAAAATTTTGTCGGAAGGGGCGAGTTGCTAACTTTTGTAATCCTTGTTAAACGCAAGAATATATATAATATATTTCCAGCATTCGGAAGAAGGATAAAATAGCCTACAGCCTCTATAAGTAGAATATCCGACCTAATCCACAAGAACAAGTTGAAAGTATTTTAAATAATATTGGTTTTTACGGGACATTGGATTATAGGACGAAATTTTGCTAGTTTATTATATAACATTCTATGTTACAATCCAGGCGTATTCAAATTAGATTGAGCTTATAAGTGAACTATATTTTAAATCACACATTTGGTGAATGTATGAATTAGATGAATTTATATTTAAAATTTAAATTCTCCAAATCCTTGTAATTCATCAATGTGTCCGGTAAGTTCTATAATGTTAAGCCTTCTACCGGTTTTTATTGAATTTATTTAAGCAGTTTGATTATATACTTTGGATATCTTTCCATAAGGTTATTATTATTTTTTAATCGATTTTATAGATCTTTAAAATGAATTTCAAACAGTTGTGTTTTTTAAACAATTTCTTTTGGTCTAAATGGTTTATTTAAGTTTATGGAAGAAAAATTTCAAACTTTAAAAATTTTAAAAAAAATTATTAAACGAAAAAATTTTCTTATTCCTACTTTTAAATATTCAAATGCCACCGTAATCATTTAAACTCCATGAGAAGTATTCTTTTTTTTTTTTCTACTATTTCTTTATTTTATACAAAATTGCTTTATCCTTTTACCGACTTATCCTGTGCGGTTATTCCGCCTTTTCATGGTTCTGGGCTTTATAATGTTTCATTGAATATTCGCAATATTTATTGCT